TTGCATCAGGGATATCCCTCAACTGATCCCTTAGTCAGCCCAAGGATCCCATTCAGTGCAAGGCAACATGGTGAATTAACCCACTTTTTAGGAGATTATGAGCCCTCATTTACCAAATTTCAAAATGAGAGACCAAAAAACAACCCTTCACCTCCTGTTGAAGAAAACAGGCCGAAGATACCACCAGAAAAGAAAAAGCTTCTGTTGGAAAAACTATTTGGTCCAAACCGCATATTAAATAACAAATAATGGCTGTGATTCCAGTCAAGCGGATAGATATTAGATAATAATCAGAGAATATTAGAACTACGACATATTAGAGTGTACATAGCAGATAGTATTAGAACTAGGATATATTAGATAGTAGATATTAGATAGTATTGGAACTAAGTGATATTAGGTAGTAGATATTAGTATTAGAACTAGGATGGATAGTGGATATTAGTATTAGAATATATTAGATAGTAGATATTAGATAGTGTTAGAACTAACCAACATTATGTATTACATACTAGTGTTAGAATGAAGCTATATTAGATAGTAGATAATATTAGAATTAAGTGATATTAGCTAGTAGATATTAGTATTAGAACTAGGATATATTACATAGTGGATATTAGTATTAGAATATATTATAGATAGTAGTTATTAGATAATATGAAGACTAGGAGATATTAAAAGTTTCTATAGTTACTATTGCAATAAGCATCACAAAAAACTTTTGTTAATTTTTTGCACATTTTTATAAAACATATATTAAAGGAATTTTGAAAAAGATGTTTTATGACTTATGCTTATCAATCAAATCTTATCAAATAAGAATTTCTTGAAGCACCTTTCTTTTCTACTTGAAATGAATAAAGGAGAATATTTCTTTGCAGCTTATAGTCAGTGGTGCTGTTTCACCACACGAGGGAGCCAAAGACTGTAATCTAATTATATTTACTAGACCAATTGGATTTAATGTTATAAACTTTGAATTTTTAGTTATGTTTTGGGGCAATGGCTTCACGTAAGAGAACTGAAAGAAATGAAATAAGATTATCAGGAGAAGCTGAATCTTCAAGTGCTTTTTTGGATTAATGTACAGCAAAAACAAATGAAGGAATTCAGGCAATGGGAACAAAGCTTGAACTGCATTCTAACCAATGAGCCATGGTGACAGCGGTTAGAATCCAGTATCACAGGCTAACTCTGCCCACAGCCAGGAGTTCAATCCTAACGGGGTTCAAGGTTGACTCAGCCTTCCATCCTTCCGAACCCGGTAAAAGGAGGACCCAGATTGTTGGGGGAAACATGCTAACTCTGTAAACCATCTAGAGGGGGCTGTAAAAAACTATGAAGCAATATATAGGTTTAAGTGCTATTGCTAGACCTTACACACTTTTAAAAGAACTCGATGAGGAAATACAACTCTTAGCTGGAGATATTAAACAGAGAAAGGATAGAGTGTAAGAAATGAAAGTTTAGAAAATAAATATTGGGAGCATCTTCAGCCCAGACTTTTATGCCTTCACCTAGAAAATAAAGAAATAGATAAACTGGGTGGTACAGAGCCATCCAGATAGGCAGCAAAATTTAACCTCGCTGATTTACACACTGAATCACAATCACTATGGCATTCATTTTGCATTCCCTATGATTTATTTATGAAAATTTCTATGGCTGCTGAACTTACTCTAAGCTGCCTGGAAGTTGCCTATTGAGTAAAAGGGTTGTCAACTTCGATGTAACAACTGTCCTATTGAAAGAAAACTAAGAGGAAAAGGAAGCAGGTGAATAAGGTAGTGGTTTCCTTGGCAATGAAATCAGTTATGTGTGACTTCAACATGTTTGCTAAGACGTGCCACTGGGAGTAATTATGTAGCCAGGATATTAAGATAGGACTGCTTGGAGAATTTCAAAGTGGGTGTGGAGGGGCTAGAGAGAGAGTGATTTGGGGACACATCTTTAGTAAAAGTCTCTGAACACGGAGCAGCATCACTTTCCTTTCTTAAAGAGCAATCACTCAAGTAGCTTCCAAAGACTTCTGCGCACAAAAAAGCAGAGGTTTAGTGCCCTGTAGCAGCTTGGCAAGCAGAGAGAATCCCCAGGGCACCTCCACTTCTCCAAATTCAGCTGGTCTCTCCTCCTTTCCCCCACCTCAGTTAATTGGCTCTCGGGTATTTCCAGAACTGAAGAACCAAGAGATGATTGGTTTGTGAGAGTATTTGTTGCGAGGACTTCAGCCCTTAAAAGGCCAAGTGCTAGCAAAGCATCAGTCATTGCAGGTTGGTGGAGTGGGTGTGGTGGGAGAAAGAGGCATCAAAGAGGAGGAGGAGGAAGAAGGGAATCTGTTTCTTGAAAGATTGGTAATGGTCTTGACAGTTTTTTCTTAATTCAGTTAGGGCATTCAAGGAAAATTCTACATTGCCTTACAAAATGAAAAAAGGAAAATATGATTTGAAAGCTGACTTGCTTCAGCAGGGACCATTTTCTATAGACACCATCCTCGAGTCAGCAAGATTCGTTTGATATTGCAATTAACAGAAAACATCCTCAAGCAGGAACATCAATTTTGCACGTACAAAATTATGAAACAATAACCACTTCTTTAAAATTCAATTTTACAAGGAAATCCATTTATGTTCAGTAATTATCCAGTAATTAGAGACATAGATGTGCTGCATTTTGTTTCCCACTTCAGTTCTTTGGGAGTTTGTTATTTACTGGAATAGATAATAATTTCAAACCTCTAGGTTTAATTTCCTGATGCAATCTAGCTTGTGCAGCTGGTAGCTGTATGACTTTTTACCAATGCCTCCTTCCTTCAGCCCAGCTCTAGGAAAACAGATACAGCAGGATCTTTTGTATAATGCCAGCTTTTTACAAACCTTGTATCAGTCCTGAAAGACAAAGAGAAGCGGCACAACTATGTAATCAGGCAGTTTTTAGGGAAAAGTTTTCTTATCAATCAATAAAATCAAAATCTCTCTATATATTACAAAAATGTAGATACAGATTATTTTCTATAATTTTTTTTCACACGGTGGGCCGATTCCCATTTCAAAAATGTGAGCATTATAACCGAGATGGAGGATTTTTATCTTTTTGTAAACATTTTGCTAAACTTTCAGTTGCCTTCTTCAGATTTCTAATTCAATATTTGTACGATTGTAAATGTTCAATAATCTTTTTGATGGTTTATTTATAAGATGTTTATGATCTAGAAAAGCAGCTTTCGTTGATACTATTTCCTTTAGTCATCAATTAGCACTTGCAAAGAAAAAGACAATTGAAACTCAGTCAGTCACCGCAAATTTATAAATAAAAGTCTAGTTGCTGAAGCTAAAACTTAAAGTATTTAAAAAGTTTACATTAAAACTCTCTTACTGCAGAAGGCATCCGAGGTGCTATTAACTAAATGCTCATTTGAGGTAAGCCTATTTTGTTCTCTGGGACTTTCTTTCAGCCTGTAGCTATCTAAAGTATAGATTGCAGAAATGTATTAATTTACGTTAGGACATTTGAACATTACCATTTGTAGGAAAAGATACTACTGGAAAAGTGTGTCCCAACATGAAAATAATATGCTTTTTAAAGATGTTAAACAAGGCCTGTATTGATATATTTAATACTATAGACTTTGTTAATATCATAACAATTTTGTATCAAAATATTTTGGAAAGATCTTTAAGATCAAATTTAATGAAAGGTTTATGAATTGTAAAAATAAAAAACATGGTCAAAAACTTCAGAATTCCAGGAAAAAGGGATATTTATCCTTCAGAATCTTAAGAAAAGGAATTATTTGGCCAAATTATACATAAGCAAATAATTTAAAATACAGGTAAATAAAATGAGATACTGGGGGGAGTTACGCAGTGAAATGTATGATCTCTGCAGAACTGATATCAGTACAATAAACTATATTATCAACATAAATTTAATAATGCATTTTTTAGGAAAAAGAATGAGAACTGAGCATAACAAATATTTATGCACATCGGATGAGTAAAGATCAGCCAGAGAAAGGTAATTCATGTTCTTCTCCAGAATGTAGCAGAAAGTTTGTTTCATACTTTATTGTTAAATAAGAAATATGATAATTATATTATTTGTCAAAAAATATTTCAAATCACTGCTCTATTTTCTTTTTTTAAATGGCAATACTAATTTTGTGAGCTCATTATTTAATAGTTATCAGTGCTGATTCTCATCATTTTCTCTAGATATGAGAGATAAGGGGAGAAGAGTTTTATGGATATTTACTAACAAATCCCACTAAATTCAAAAGTCCTTTGTTACAGGATAAAATGCTTTATATTTTGATGACTTCTAGAGCCTTTGAATTTGGTATACCCCAAAGTCTGGCTGTGGAAATGAAACTATTACTTCATGCCATGCTGCCATTATACAAATGAGTTAAATTGTGTATTTTGAAGCAAAAAGTGTTAATATCAGGCAAATTTATATATTTATTTCTTAAATTTATATACTATAGCTGCCCGTCCCACTAGAGGTACATATAGTTCAAGATCACATTATTGCTGTTTCTTCCTCCAAATTTAAAGCCACAATTATTTTTTTCTCAATCCCGCCTCCCCTGTATGCTTTCAACATATAGGTTGAATTAATAAGAAGAGTGCATATAACCATTTTTCACCCCTTTGTCTACCTCTGCATTTTGAATGAAATACAGAAGTGGTTTACCATTGCCTTGTCCCAAGCAGTATAAAAGAACCCCCATGCCATTGCCACTGAAGGGATTATCTAACATTGTCCTATGATGCTGCTGCTATCCAATATACACAGTCCTCAAATTATGATTCAATGGAGCTCAGAATTTCCATCATAGGTTATGATGGTCATAAATCAAGGGACCCATGTTACCAACCTGATTTTACAACCTTTTTTGCAGTGTTTCTGAAGTGAAGGCCCAGTTATAAAGCAAATGATGCGATCATTAAACACTGTATTTGTTAAGCAAGCCAATGCATTCTTACGGCCATTTTGTTGGCAGAAACCTGCCCCAAAATCCGGTTTCTTGGAAAATACACTGTAATTGGCCTTAAAGAGAGTTATGTGACAGTGTGGGAGGGAAACAGCATCAGAACTCTGGAATTGGGCTGTAAGTAATTTGGGAGGAGCATCAGATCTCTGAATGCAAAGCAACTGTTTGTTAAGTGAGCAATGTGTCAGCCTAGGCCGAAGCCACCAGAACTAACAGTGAATGCATGTAAGCAGGGTAGAGAAAAGCCAGGAAAAAGAACCAAGGCAAAAAGGAAAGAACAAAAGTTTGGCCTAAGCACATAGCAAGCCCCTCCCCACATTTGGCAACCAAGGAGTTGGGCCTGCATGGGTTAAGCCTCTCCCATCAACACTGAGGGATCAAAAGAGGTCCTGAGGCCTGCCCAGACTTTGGGGTCATTTTTGGATCAGGACTTGGCAGCTTCTGTCCCTCTGGCTAATGTCAAGCAGCCTAGTTGTAGATGTGGGGTAAGTACGGATGAGTGTGTGTTTTTGTGTGCATGTGTGTAAGACCAAATAGATCTACTTCATAATCAGTCAAAGTCTGCTGTTATTTTTAATTCACTGGGTCTCTGTGTATTTTAAAGAGCCATTTGTGCCTCAGAGTTCAGTTGAAACTGGTTTGAGTGTGCCAATTTTCCAGGGATATGAGGGTGTGAGTGACGATAACCTGAGCGTGAGAGCACACTTGCGTAACAAATACCTGTAGTTTCCAGCTTGCTTTCTCTGAGCAGCTGAGATGATGTGACCTTGCTGGAAGTAGAGACTCTGGGTGTTTTTCACTCATCCCCTTCAGGAACAGCCTTTCCACTACCACATGCCTTCTTCCTAGAGTAGACAGAGGGTGATTAGCCCCAAATCACCCAGTTTGTTTCTGTGTAAGGTATGCTGAACATATAATGGCTACTTCACCCAACATGCCAAGACAAAGCCAGTCATAAAAAAAGTCAAAGCAATTCTCCAAACAAAACTATTTCTCATCCACTTGCATGCCCAATGAGGAAGTTCAGGGAAGGTTTTGGTGTAGCTGCCATCTTTTTCAGGAGGTGGGAAGATGGCAGTTCTGAGTCTATTAACTGTTGGAAATCCCTTAAAATATGGTTTTGTCAGCAGGCTTGGTGATCCTACAGAAATAGGGAACTGCAAATGGTTCTGTTATATGTAGGATTTTGAATTAACTCTCCAAAGGCTTTGATTATATTTAAGGTTTTTAAATTGTTTTTACTGTGTAGTGGGTTTTGGAAGGCATTAACCAGATCGGGTTAATACAACAAGATTTATTGCAACAGAAAACAGAACTGACTTAACCAGCAGAATGACGGCTATTTATACTTGCTGCCTCTAGGCGACGACCAATCAATTCAAACGGTGTTTTCCCATTCAAACTTGAACTTAACTTTTCCCTCCAAAACAGTTAGAGGTACGTTTAAACTAAAACACATTAACTCCTGATATCAATACATAACAGTTTTAATTCATTATAATGGTTTTGTCTGAATATTGTGTTTTGCCCAGTCACATGCATGAGATGGACAGCTTTATAAATGCACTAAATAAATAAATAAAAGATTCCTGCAGCACTCTTTCTCTCTCTTTTCTGGCTTGTCTTAGATCCATACAGGCTTCTCCGTATTGTGCTAGGATTCATTGCTGTTTTTCTTCCTTTATATCTATGTGTTTTCTTTTAAACAAGGTCTTGGGGACTCTGTTTATGAAGGTAGTCAAACTGATATCTATATACTATTAAAGCTCTCCAGTTTGTCTCTGTGAAAGTTTTAATTGGGAAAACAGTGCATTATAGGACAATCATTTTTGTACCAAGATATCTGAAATGGGTTTACTTACGGTCCAAAATCCATAATCCATGTCTTCTGTGGAATTGAAATTGTGCAAATTTTATAAAGTATTTTATAACATAAAATTATCTTAAGATATTTTAGAACATAATGCAACATGTCACAGAATATTTCCTTTGGTCAACTGCCGATCTTTGACCATGCTTTACAGTTCAACATGCCTATTTTCAAGGCTGAGACATCTCTGAATATCAGCCTGAATTTTTAACAACTTTTCTAGTGTAGACAGTACAATAAAAGCTCAGCTACTGTTGAAGGCATTGAGGAATCCGGTAAGGTGACATCTCTGAAACAATGACCCAATGGCTCTTGGGTTCCCTGGTCTTAATTGAAATGCTGACTAGGACAAGGGAGTTCTAGGTTCAAGTCCAACTTCAGTAGCAATACCTTATGTAACTTTGCTTTAATGGCTATCAATCAAATAACATTGAGTTTATATTGTAATGCAATGTTGGAGGGGATATTTAAATCTTAGAGAAAACGTGAGATATAAATCTACCAAATAAATAAAATAAAGCCCTTATTTATTTTTGTTTTCCTAAATTGGATTATCATTTTAATCTATGTTAATACAATATTGGGAGAGTTAAGAGAGAGATTTTATTAGACGGAATAAAACGAAACAAAGGATGATGACTATAAATAAGCCTGCAATTGATGTGAAAGGGAGGGTATTAATGGAGATTTAATGACACTTTATCACTTACCCAGGTAAAAGTTAACATGTATGTGTGTGTGTGTGTGTGTGTATATATATATATATATATATATATATATATATATATATATATATATATATGTTTTCTGAGGTTTTCGCGGGTATTTGTATGTAGGTCTTTGGTTGTTCGGGTTTTCTCCCGCGTAAAATTGGAAGTGTCTTGGCGACGTTTCGACGAAGTCCCATTCGTCATCTTCAGGCTGGTGTTTTCAGCTTCGTGCTTCGAGCAGCAATGTGTGGTCTTAGCTGTTTCTTCCTTTTAACTGCCAGTGGGGGTATGAACTGATTGGGTGGGAGCTTGGCTGTGTTCTGATTGGGTGGAGGTGTGTTCTGATTGGTTAGGGGCTTGGCTGTGCTCTGATTGGCTGGGGGGTTGGCTGTGCTCTGATTGGCTGGGGGGTTGGCTGTGCTCTGATTGGCTGGGGGAGTGTTCTGTTTGGTTGTGCTCAGGTTAGTCTGAGTTGCAGAGGGATTCAAGATTTTGGGCTGCCCTGCCATTCCTTGGCTTCGCGTTCGTGGTCGTGCTTCCTCTTCATGGAGGTGTCAGTTTGCTTCATGTATGGATTGGGGGGGTTTAAAGTGGCTAATGATGCAGCTGTGGTCTGGCTTCTGGTTTGTGGTCGTGCCTCATAGTCAGTGTGGCTTTGGGTTTGTTTTTTGCGTGGATGTTTGGTGGTGACATCCTGTGTGGTTTTTGTGAGTGTGGGTCTGGTATCATTTTTTGTGTTAGGGAGTCGTTTGTCAATGAGGGCGGGTTTCCAAATGGCTGGTAGGCGGGAGGTATCATCTCGCTTGTTCATGCTGTGTGGGCGTTTTTCTATCTCGATGGCTTCTCTGATTATTCTGTTATTAAAATGTTCACTTTTGGCAATGGTTCTGGTATTTTTAAAGTCAATTTCATGTCCTGTAGCTTTAAGGTGTTGGACCAGGGAAGATGGTCCAAAATGGTCCAAACAGAACACTCCCCCAGCCAATCAGAGCACAGCCAATCCCCCAGCCAATCAGAGCACAGTCAACCCCCCAGCCAATCAGAGCACAGCCAAGCCCCTAACCAATCAGAACACACCTCCACCCAATCAGAACACAGCCAAGCTCCCACCCAATCAGTTCATACCTCCACTGGCAGTTAAAAGGAAGAAACAGCCAAGACCACACACTGCTGCTCGAGGCACGAAGCTGAAAGCACCAGCCTGAAGATGACGAATGGGACTTCGTCGAAACGTCGCCAAGACACTTCCAATTTTACGTGGGAGAAAACCCGAACAACCAAAGACCTATATATATATATATATATATATATATATATATATATATATATATATATATATATATATGCTTTTTTTCTGTGATCTTTTAGGAATTGAGAGACAACATAGATGCAGAATAATTATGCAAAATGGATAAAAAGACTGAACATGAAACAGGAGTTCATCTGCCTGAAAAATCAGCAGTGCACATCATTTCAAATAGGACATTCACGGGAGTAAAAACATAAAATGACTATAAATATTGAACCATAAAAATCACAAAGCATACCTTTTGCTTAAGAATTCAAATATAGTGGCATAATGCTTTTTCCATAACTGCTCTGTGTTACTGTAAGTAATGTCTATTCTTCAGAAGACATTGACATCTTTCTTGGGCAGATTATTTAAACTGAAGGTACCAGTTGAAATAATTTATAATACTAGATAGAATAATGTTCTTTTGTTGCTGTTGTTTAGTCTAACATATAATGCATATTGCTAAATGATTAATGTTGAAATCACATTTTTTGCAGGATTACCAAGTGAAGAGATTTACCCAAAGGTAGCAAAAAAATCCAATATGAAAATATAGAAAAACAGAAGAAGAGGAGAGAAAGGCAATGGTTGCACTTATTGAAAGAAGAGTTTGATAATTTAAAGACAGAACCAAAATTTCTTCCTACACATCATGTTCAGTCAAAAGAAAACAATTTGGTAGATGTTGCAGTGGAAAAATAGGAAATCGAAGAAGATAAATAGTCAAAAGAAGCTCTTTGTAACAAATTAACAATAGTAATACAAAAATATAGAATTTCATCTAAATTTAAAAAACAATATGCATTTTCTAAGGCCACTGAAATTTTGCATCAAGGTTTGGATTTTTTGATAGTAGTTATTACATAGTTTTATTTAATGTTTAATAGTAGTTTCTACAGTTATTGTTGTAAGTTCATTTGATCATTCAGTACAGTTCAAGGTGGCTATTTTCAACACAGATACATGTCTGAATAAATTCTCTTAGTTCAGCTAGTCCCTTGTCCTTCCCCCCACACAAGTTGATTGGCTCTCGGGGTTTTCTAGAACAGATGAACCAGGAGACGAATGGTTTGTGAGAGCATCTGTTGCAAGAGACTTCACCTATTTTTCACTATAGATTGACACGTTGTGAGGGGATAATGGGGTGCCCAAGAGGAGGATTGGTAAGACAAAAACTGGTCTTGACAGTTTTTTCTTAAATCAGGGCATTCAAGGATCTATCGTCCTTACTCTTCAGTTCCGAAGAAAATTCTCCAGCATGTAAAACCCTAAAAGATATGTTCTACATTGCCTTAAAAAAAGAAAAGGACAATATGATTTTCAATCCACTTCCATATTCTCCTTGGTTTCTAAATAAAAAATATATACTTTCTAAGTAAAAAATAGATACTTCAAATTCTACAGAAGATTCATACTTTTCAGAGTCGATGGTACTAGTAATCAATCTCTCTGAGACCAAAGAAAGGATGACTGCTCTTTCATTCCTTGACACAGTTGAACTGGTAGAAGAAAAAGAATATAGAGGATTAAATCACAGACTTTACAGAAATTCTTGGAGAAACATTAGTCATTAAGGCCAGGAGAGCAACCTTTGCCCATACTGTTATTTTGTCAGCACAAGTCAAACCCATTTGATGGCACCCAATTAATTAATTGAGAATCAGTTTGGTGTACCAGTTAAGGTATCCATAAGGAAACCAGTAGATTCTTCTAGTTCTGCTTTGGGCAAGAAGGTAGCTGGGTGACCTTGAGCCAGTCATTTCTCTCAGTCCAAAGAAGGAGGCAATGGCAAAACATTTCTGAAAGTCCTTGCAAGAAAACTACAGGGATTCTCCAGGAGATCTCCGAGAATTGGAAATAATTGGGTGAAATAAAAATAAAAGTTATAGCTTTCCTGATAGGAGGACATTCCAGTAAATCTTCTTTAAGCATGTGTCTACCTGTCCTCACCTGAAACTTGAATCAGCCAGAGGCTGAGGCACCCCAAGTATGGGCTTAGGTAATCTACTACTAGAGTGTTTTTGTGGTTGCGCACGAGGAGTGCTTGTTTCGGGTTGAGGGTAAGCAAAGGTAGCAACAGTTAAGGGGAAGCAAAAACACATGGAAGATAAAGGCCTGGTAGAAGAGCTCCTCCTAGGGACACAGAAAATGGAGCAGCTATTTTCCCCCTCCAAGTTGAATTGTGCTGTCAACTTCTGTTATGTCCAGCTTCCAGTCAGCAAAGTAGGCATTTGTACCACTGAAGCATTATCCATGGACATTATTGTGTTACTCGCTGAAACGTACGATTCTCATAATACATTTTCCTATGTCACTCGTATTTAATTAAATGACTAAAGAACTGAAATCAGAAATAGCCCAAAATGTTAATGTTTATAAATATTGTACAACAAAGGAATATTTAGAAACTAATTTTTATGCATTTCATTTCTCCTTTCTATTTTGTCTGTTTGTGTGTGTTATCTGCATGTCCATGTTTTTAAAATGTGTAGAAAAAAGGATAATCTTGAATGTTGGGGAGTTTCTGAATGAGCAAGGAATAACTTGCTACTTTTTTGACCTTGATTTATCAAGAACACCTTTTCTCTCTATTATGTTTTCCAAAAGTAGCTGGGTGAAAGCTTGAGCAAGGGATTGGGATAGAAGTCCTCTAAGGTCCCTTTTTTCTATTATTTGAATGTCAGTCCAGGCATTCTGTGAAACGTAATACTATTATTTTAGTCTTTTTTGCTCCGTGAAAGAACTCAGAGCTCTGGAGGCATAATAAACACATCAATTCTTTAAGAAGTGAATAATATAATGCAAGGGACCAAAATTGTGCTGATCTTTTTTGGTACAGAATCAGAGCAAATAACTTTTAAACGGGTTAGATGAAGCCTTAAAAAAATCTTGACATCATACATTGTTTTCTTGTCTGACTTCAGTGCCATTTTGTTTGGGAAATATAAAGTATAATTCAGTCTTCCCTGCCATTGGTGGAACGATGGCTTCTGATGATGCATCCCTTCATCATACCGTCAAAGAGAAGAAGACATGTGGATAATGTAGAGAAAGTGGAAGCTCAAGTGATTCTCCAGATAGGCTTAGTAAGAGGATCAAAATCAGTAAAGGCAGTAACTGTAGCAAAAGTTCCAGCCAGTCTGGAAGTGCTCAACTTCACTGTTCCAATGACTTTAGTGATAATGCTTCAAGAACGGCTGTCATGGCAGCAACAACAGCATTTGTTCAGAAGAGAACAACTGTGGAACTTCTCTAAACTTCTATTACCACGATTTTCCTTCAGATTCCTCTGAAACCTCCACAAGCAAAGAGGGTGGCAGCTTCACCAACCCGTTGCTCCAGCAGCCAGAAACTACAGAACAGAACTTACCAGAGAAGAAAAAGGGAAACCATCTCCATGCAAAAGGTAAGAAGGCCACCGGTCACACAGAACACACCTTTCCTGAAAAGGAAGCAGTTGTGCTATAACACTACTTTTGCGAGCTAGCCTGACACTTCTAGACTGTAAAAAGTATACTATATTTTTGAAAGTCACACAAATCTAGTTAAATAGTTTAAATAGTTAAACTGCATATGGTTGATTAATATGTTAATGTTTTGCTTTGAACCCTCTTGGTCAGTAATTCTACCCTCTAGGTAATGGAGGTTGTGTTGATGGGTTCAATTCACCAGTTATTGGTGACGGGAATAGTTCACCATTGTCATGGTCATACAGATGTCAGTGTCACATGGTTTCAATAATTACACTAAGGGACAGGGAATGGGGTCCAGAAAAAGAAAAGGAGTGTGCAAATTTGAGTGGTCACTCTTACATTAATTTGAGTCCATTACTTTCAGTGTTTTGTCAGCATTTAGATATGATGTGAGTGTTGTGTGTGTCTGTGTGTGTGTGTGTATCAATCCATCTGTCTAGGCAGTTTTGTACAGTGCTTAGGGTGCTGGCCTAGCAATCCTGCTTTAGGCACGAATGACTAAGGAGTTCTAGGAGCTGAAGTCCATGCAACCTAAAGTTGTCTAAATACTGTTTTAGCATAGTATGTGAGTATAGCAATTATAAAAGCTAATATTATGAGAGTTCAGCTATAATTTTTCACAATAGGTCGATCAATAAATAGTTGCATCAGAGATTGACTCAATAAAAATAAGCAAATCCATGCGATAAATATCTGTTTGAGGATTTGGCTCTGAAGCTTAGGTAAAGTTATGAGATTCTTACTTTGCACAATCTTATATGCCATTTTGATATTTCCTTAATGTAGGAGGTAAAATATTGCCTAAAAAGAAACCTCAGCAGAAGACCACATTTATGACAGACCATAACATGGCTTGCCATCTATTGTCAGCAAGAGACCATGAGATTAAAGAACTGAAAAATGAACTTGCTGTTCTGCGGAATAAATTGGAGACATTTACTGTGGAATATAAAATCTTGAAGCATCTTCCGTCTCAACATTTAAAAGCAATTAATAAACATAAAAATGCAGAGATTAACCTGCCTGATCTTTTGGCCACGCAGTCTAATGAAGTGCTGACTCTGAGATCACTTCTCAGGACATCTCAGGAACAAGAGCGCAGGGCTTCCAACAAGCTGAGAGAGGTTCAGGCAGAACTCTTAAAAACAAGGGACGCCTTGCGGGCGTTGCAGAAATTTTCTGAAGACAATTAACATCATATATCCAAAAATTGGAAGCCAGTGATAAGAGAATCCAGGTAACGTGCAAGTTACATTGCTTAGAACAACGTAGCTGGGCTCTGGGAGAGCCCTATGAAGAAATGCTTTAAGCTGACTTGCTTCAGCATGCAGTAGGGACCGTTCCCTACAGGCACCATCCTCAAGTCTCCAAGATTCCTTTGATATTGAAATTAACAGAAAACCTGCTCAAGGAGGAACATCAATTTTGCACATACAAAATTTAGAAACAAGAACAACTTCCTCAAAGCTCTAGTTTCCAATGAAATCTATTTTTTTCAGATTCTTAAATTGTTATCCAGCAATTAGAGACATAGATGTGCTGCATTTGGTTTCCCACTTCAGTTCTTTGGGAGTTTCTTATTTGCTGGAAGAGATAATAATTTCAAATGTCATTGGTAGAATTGTGGCTTGTTGCACAGTCAGCCAGATGTCCAGACTGGATTTGAATTTTCATCCACCTATCCAGTCCTTCTCAAGGACCTGGCAGAGGCATTATTACTATGCTTCAGCACACAGTCAGCCAGATGTTATACTGGATGTGGCTTTTTATCACCTACCAAGACCTTCGGAACGGCCTGGGGTAAGCAGGTATGTGTGTTTGGTAGTGTTAAAGGTATTGTCACAGGATGGAACCTGTGCCAAGCAAAGCTGCCTTTGGCAACTGACTGAGGGTGATTTTGTCAGTGCCAATGGTATTTAAGTGGTGCCCTAGTTGTTTTGGGATGGCATCCAAGCCACCTATTAATTTTGCTCTGTTTTGCTACAATAATTCTAATTCTGTTTACTGGTCTTTGAATTTTGTTATTTTCTCCAATTCTTTCTCTGCTTTTCTGCTGTCTACAAGAATTGTCATATCCTCTTTCTGGACATCATTATTCTTATTCATTTGCCACCCAACTTATGGTTCAAGTTGACAGCTAGCTAAAGGAGCAACTTTGCCTTCATTTTTTCCTAACAGCATATTACAGGTAATGGTCACCCAACAACATTCACATAAAAACCCTTTAGTTTTCTTAGTTGTGTTTTTCTTAAAAACTGGATGGAAAAGGGAACTTTTCCTATGGCTTACTTAAAATGCCCTGTTTGGAAAAATCTTACTGCAATTTAAAATTACACTATATCAATCTCCTCTGACTTTTTGTTTGAAGTCTGTAATTAAATGCAGGTTTAAAAGCTTAAACACTAACTGGTATCTTCCGAAGAGAAAGTTACTTTTGGGTTTGGAGAAAACTCCTGAGAAAACCGTGGTCAGCCAAGAGAACAAATCAGTCAATCATCAAATAAACCAGCTCAGAGTTTTCACTCAAGGCACCAATGACCAGACTCAAATTATCCCACTTGGGACACATTATGCAAAGACCAAGCCCTCTGGAGAAGGTTCTAGTGCAAGGAAATGTGGAAGGGGAAAGAACAGGGTGACCCAGAGTAAAGTGGATGGACTCGGTTACTGGAATGAAGAGTGCATCGTTGAAGAGCTGAAGGACCAGATTACGAGCAGATAATGATGAGGTTGCTAAAAATTGATCAAAACTCCTTTCTTCTTCCAATTTATCACCTTGCCAAATGAACACTTCTGAAAAAAGCGAAAAACTCAATTTTGTGATCTTAGATTGTCCCAATAAACCTGTTCCCCTAACATGCATTTTACAATTCTTTCTATCATATATAAATTTATACCCTCCATCAATTTACCCAGACCAAATTTCATTGTACTCGGTGGAGCCTACACTAAAGTAGGCATGCATATCTTTACATACTTTTTTGGGCTTGGTTGATAGGATAGATATTTACCAAGGAAAATTATAATATTTATAAAATGCTCTTAAAAAGTGGGTTTAATTCTGTTTGCTTTTTAATTAAATCAGGAAAAAGGAGCTGTTTCATAGGCCAGGATGGAGGAGCATAACGCCCAGCAGAAAAACATAATTTATTGAATGACTGCAGTGAGGAGCGGGAAGGAAACTGGAGATGACAGAGTTATGAAAACGCCTCCTTAACGTCTGCCATCTTACCTTTTCCTTCCATTCAGCTTTGCCTTACAAGTCCCATGATGCTCAGAGAAGAAGTTCTCTAGTTGCCATGGTAGCAAAGATCTAAACATCAACTTCTCTGCCAACGAAGCCCAAGAACCGGGTAAGGTGAATAAACGGACCACGGGTGGAAGTCTCTGCCTGGCATCGTAGGAGGGAAGTTTAAACCCTGGATGCTTAGTGGGCACTTTGATTTCTGTTCTCTGGGCAACCGAGGAGTGCTTGTTTCGGATTGTGGATAAGCAAAGATTGCAACAGTTAAAGGGAAGCAAAAAGACGTGGAAGATAAAGGACTGGTAGAAGAGCTCCTGCTAGGGACATGGAAAATGGAGCAGCTACGTTTCCCCTCCAAGTTGAATTGTGCTGTCAACTTCCATTATGTCCAGATTCCAGTCAGCAAAGTAGGCATTTGTACCACTGAGGCATTATCCGTGGACATAATTGTGTGACTCGCTGAAACCGTGCGATTCTCATAACACATTTCCGTATGTCCCACGTATTAAAGAACTGAAGTCAGAAATACCCCAAAATGTTAATGTTTATAAATTTTGTACAACAAAGGAATATTTAGAAACTATTTTTATGCATTGACTAAGGAGTTCTAGGAGCTGAAGTCCATGCAACCTAAAGTGGTCTAAATACTGTTTTAGCATAGTATGTGAGTATAGCAGTTATAAAAGCTAATATTATGAGAGTTCAGCTATAATTTTTCACAATAGGTCGATCAATAAATAGTTGCATCAGAGATTGACTCAATAAAAATAAGCAAATCCATGCGGTAAATATCTGTTTGAGGATTTGGCTCTGAAGCTTAGGTAAAGTTATGAGATTCTTACTTTGCTCAATCTTATATGCCATCTTGATATTTCCTTAATGTAGGAGGTAAAATATTGCCTAAAAAGAAACGTCAGCAGAAGACCACATTGACGACTGACCATAACATGGCTTCCCATCTACTGTTAGCAACAGATCACAACATTAAAGAACTGAAAAATGAAGTGGCTGTTCTGCGGAATAAACTGGAGACATTTACTATGGAAAATAAAACCTTGAAGCGTCTTCAGTCACAACATTTAAAAGCAATTAGTAAACATGAAAATGCAGAGATTAACCTGCCTGATCTTTTGGCCACGCAATCTAATGAAGTGCTGACTCTGAGATCGCTTCTCAGGACATCTCAGGAAAAAGAGCGCAGGGCTTCCAACAAGCTGAGAGAGGTTGAGGCAGAACTGTTAAAAATAACGGACGCCTTGCGGGCGTTGCAGAAACTTTTTGAAGAGAAGAAACTTGAAGACAGAGAAGACCTAAAGCGTAAATTAACATCATATACCCAAAAATTGGAAGCCAGTGATAAGAGAATCCAGGTAACGTGCAACTTACATTGCTTAGAACAACGTAGCTGGGCTCTGGGAGAGCCCTATAAAGAAATGCTTTAAGCTGACTTGCTTCAGTATGCAATAGGGACCGTTCCCTACAGGCACCATCCTCAAGTCTCCAAGATTCCTTTGATATTGAAATGAACAGAAAACCTGCTCAAGGGGGAATATCAATTTTGCACATACAAAATTTAGAAACAAGAACAGCTTCCTCAAAGGCTCTATTTTCCAATGAAATCTATTTGTATTCAGATTCTTAAATTGTTATCCAGCAATTAGAGACATAGATGTACTGCATTTGGTTTCCCACTTCATTCTTTGCAAAATTATTATCAAACGTCATTGGTAGAATACTTTTTCCCAAGCTTTATCAGTAAAACATAATAGTGATAGGCTGTGAACACTCTAGCTTTAATTTCCTGACACAACTAGCTTGTCCACCTCTATGACTTTTTACCAATGACTTCTTTCTTCCGCCCAGCTCTAGGAAAATAGATACAATAGGATCTTTTGGTATAATGCAAGCTTTTCACAAAGCTTGTACCAGTCCTGAAAGACAAAGAGAAGCTGCACAACTATGCAATGAGGAAGATTTTAGTAATAAATGTTCATATCAATCAATAAAATCATAATCTCTACCTATAAAACAGACATTGTTGGAAACTCGGAATGTAGGGAACAAAGAAAAGATTATAATTAATTAGTGAAATTGTGCATTAAAATTGATATGTTCAAGCTAGTTAAGCTAATTACTTATGAATCTTATTTTCACCACACGATGCTAGATGGGTGTTGAAAAACACTACCGGGGTGTTCTGAGTGGTGGTTGTGCAAAACTTCTTGCTCTTCATATTTCCTTTCATTTTTGCGTATTAGCCTCAGTTTTATAGAAAACTGAGATTTTGGTAAGAATGACTCTTGCTTTAACTAGTCAGTTGAAATACTCCATCTCTGATGACGTGGGCCTAGCCAGCACATTGAAAGCTATATAGTGGCTAAACCTACCTTACTTAGCATCATATCAAGACAAAAAATAAAGCATGTTAAGGCTTGATTAGAATTAAAATGAACAAAATTTTACTCATTTCTCCTCCTCCTCCTCCTCCTCCTCCTCCTCCTCCTCCTCCTCCTCCTCCTCCTCCGTCTTTATTTCACAATTATGTTATTTTTGATTACACAGATTATTTTCCATATTTTTCTTTCACAAGGTGAACCGATTCCCATTTCAAAAATTGTGATATTATAACTGAGATGGAGATTTTCATCTTTTTGGAAACATTTGCTAAAATTTCAGTTGCTTTCTCTAATTTCCAATTCAGTATTGTAGGATTGTAAATATTAACTAATCATATTGATGGTTTATTTCTAATCTGCTCAGGATCTAGAAAAGCAGATGTCGTTGAATACTACTTCCTTTAATCATCAGTTAGCAGTTGCGATGAAAATGACAACTGAAGCTCAGTCAAGCACCGCAAATTTACAACTAGAAATCGAGTCGCTGAAGCTGAAACTTAAGGTATTTAAAAGCTTAAATTAAAACTCTCTTACTACAGAAGGCATCCAAGGTGCTATTCACAAAATGCTCATTTGAGGTAAGTCTGTTTCTTTCTCTGGGACTTTCCTTCAGCCTGTAGCTATCTAAAGTATAGATTGCAGAAATGAATTAATTTATGTTAGGACATTTGCACTTTACCATTTGTAGGAAAAAATACTACTTGAAAAGTGTATCCCAACATGAAAATAATAGGCTTTTTAAAGATGGTAATCATGGCCTGTATTGATAGAAAATTGAGAAACAGTTTATTTTAAAATTGTAATTATAAGACATATTTATACTATATACTTTGTTAATGTCATAACTATTTTGTATCAAGATATTTTGGAAGGATCTTTAAGGTCAAATTAAATTAATGGTTTATGAATTATAAAAATATAAAAACCTGATCAAAAACTTTACAGTTATAGAAAAAAAGGATACTTATCCTTCAGAATATTAACAAAAGGAATTATTTGGCCAAATTATATAGAAGCAAATATTTAAAATACAGATCAATGTGAGATATTTGTGGGAGTTAGGCAGTAAAATGTATGATCTGTGAAGAACTGACATTTATACAATAAACTATATTATCAACATAAATTGAATAATGCATTTCTTTAGGAAAGAGAAAGAGAACTAAGCATAACAAATATTTATGCACACCGGATGGGTAAAAGTCAGTCAGAGAAAGCTGATTCCTGTTTTTCTCCAAAAGGTAGCACAGAGTTTCTTTCATACTTTATTGTGAAATAAAAATATGATAATCCTTTTGACTCATCAAAAATATTTCCAATCCTGGCTCTATTTTCTTTTTTAATATGGCAATATCGCATTTTGTGATCTCATTATTTAATAGTCACCAATACTGATTAAAGAGAATCGTTCTCATAATTCTCTCTAGATGTGAGAAATAAGGGCAAGAGTTTTATGGATATTTACTAAGAAATCCAACTAAACTCAAAAGCCCTCAGTTACAGAATTTTAGTATATGTGTGTGCATCTCTGTGTATTTTAAAGAGCCTTTTGTGTTAAGTTGAAATTGGTTTGAGTGTGGTAATTTTCCAGGGATGTGAAGGTGTAAGTGAGGGACCACAACTGGAGCACATTTGTGCAACAACTACCTGTAGGTTTCCGCTTGCTTTCCCTGAGCAGCTGAGATGATCTTCCTGCCTTAGGTGACCTTGTTGGAAGTAGAGACTCTGGGTGTTTTTCACTCATTCCCCCCCTCCCCCAGGAACAGCCTTTCCACTACCACATGCCTTCTTCCTAGAGTAGACAGGGTGTGACTAGCCCCAAATCCCCCAGTTTGTTTCTGTGCCAAAGTCTGATGCCTTGTTCACCAAATCAGACTGGCTATTTGCATTAGTAACGACTAAAATGCAATAAAAGCGATATAACGGCATAAGAATTAAATCGCTTAAAACATGTTGGTAAAACATCACTTTCCTAACACTGATGTCTCTCATGCAAATGACATGTTTATCTATTTATTGGCTTTTCATAGTTGTTAAAGTCAGCAAAGCTATCCAGGTAAATATCAGCCTAAAACCCAGGACTCTTGGGAAGGGTGAGCCTGAAGGAAGTCAAATGACCTTCCACGAGGTATGGAACAGCTGAACAAGCCTTTTATCATTCTTAACTTCTGATCCTTTGTAAGTTTTGTTTCTGGTGATAATTTCCCTCTTGTAACATGCATCTTATAGTAAGATTTTTGCAGACAATTGATAACTATGTTATAAACATAACTTTGTTGCTGAAAAAGAAGCTAAAAGATGCAGCTTTAAAATTTCTTGAATTAGTAGGAAATCCTTGGGATAGTTAAGAAAATGTTTTACTAAGAACTAGTTAAGACATGGGACAATCTATGGATTATGAGACTGACCGTTTTAACTCTATTCACTTTTGGAAAGCCCTTAAAATACGGTTTTGTCAGCAGGCTTGGTGACCCTACAGAAATAGGGAACAAGAATGGCTATGTAATATGTAGGATTGTAAATGAACTCTTAAAAGCCTTTGATTATATTTGTAGTTTTTACATTGTTTTTAATGGCTTATAATGATTTTGACTGAATTTTGTGTGTTGCCCAGTCACATGCATGAGACAGGGAGCTTTATAAATATGTTAAAGAAAGAAATAAAAGATTCCTGCAGTCCTCTTTCTCTCTCTTTCCTGGCTTGTCTTTGATCCGTATAGGGCAGGGGTGTCAAACTGCTGGCCCACAAGCTGGATGCATCATGCCGAAATTGCGTGCACCCCATTGCGAGTTTGACACCCCTGGTATAGGGCTTATCGTGCTAGCAATCGTTGTTTTTTTCCTTTCTTTATAAGCTTTGACCGTGCCCATTTTCAAGGCAAATACACCTCTGAATATCTTCATGAATTTTTAACAACTTTTCTACTCAAGACAGTACATTAAAAACTTTGCTGTTGTTGAAGGCATTGGGGAATGTGGTAAGGTGATAACTCTGAAAAAATGACCCAATGGGTCATCAGTTCTCTGGTATTAATTAAAATGCTGAATAGGACAAGGGAGATGTACATAAAATCCACCTTGACTCACAATACCCTAGGCAACTGTTTTTCAGTGAATATCAATTAAATAATCTGGAGTTTCTATTCAAAAGAAATATTGGAGGAAATAAGAAAGTCTTGAAAAAAACGTGAGATCTAACAAATAATTTTAAAAAGTCACTTATTTATTTATGTTTTCCTAACTTGGATTATAATTTAAATCTATGTTAATACAACATTGGGAGAGCTTAGATAGATACCTTATTAGATGGAGTAAAATGAAACAAAGGACGATGACTATAGATAAATCTGCAGTTGATGTGTAAGGGAGGCTATTAATGAAGATTTAATTTATCACTCACACACGCAAAAGATAATATGGTCTTATATGTTTTTTTCTGTGACTTTTTAGGAATTGAAAGCCAACATTGAACCTGAAACAGGAGTTCATCTCCCTGAAATATTACCTGTGCACAACATTTCAAATGGGACATTCATGGGTAAAAAGCATAACTGACTATTAAAAAAAAATCACAAGACATACCTTTGCTTAAGGATTCAAACAGAGTCATATAATACTTTATTTTATTTTACAAGTGCTCTGTGTTGCTGTGAATAATGTCTATTCTTCAGAAGAAATACAGAACTTGGCATATTTCCTGGACAATTTATTTAAACTGAAGGTGCCACTTTAAATAATTTGTAACAGTAGATAGAATAATGTGCTTTTGTTACTGTTGTTTTTCTAACAGATAATGCATATTCCTAAATAGTTACTGTTAAAATAACATTTTTTGCAGAATTACAAAGTGAAGAGATCGGATCAAGGATAGAAGAAAACATCCAGTATGAAAAGAGAGAAAGACAGAAGAGCAGGAGAGAAAGGCAAGGGTTGGACTTATTTGAAGAAGAGTTTAATAAAGTAAAAGCTGAACCATCATTTTTTCCTACACCTCAAGTTATGCCTAAAGTAAACAATTTGGAATATGTTGCCATGGCAAAAGAGGAAAACAAAGCAGATAAGGAGGCAAAAGAAGCTATTTGTGAGGAAGTAATAACAGCAATACCAAGGCATAGACCATCTACCTTGAAAAAACACTATGTATTTACAGAAGCCACTGAAAATTTGCATCAGGGATATCCCTCAACTGGTCCCTTAGTCAAACCAAGGATGCCATGCAGTGGAAGACCAAGAAATCGGCAACAGGGTGAATTAACCCACTTTTGGGAAGATCCTGTCACCAATTATGAGCCCTCATTTGCTAAATTTCCAAACGAAAGACCAAAGGACAAGACTTCAACTCCCGGTGAAGAAACCACACCAAAGATACTGCCAGAAAAGAAAAGGCTTCTGTTGGAAAAACTGTTTGGTCCAAATAACATATTTAGCAAATGATGGCTTGCATTATGTTATTCCTATCAAGTGGATAGACATTAGATAATGGACACCAGACAGTATTAGAACTAAGACAGATTAAATAGTGGGTAGTATTAGGGTATATTAGATAACAGATATTAGATAGTATTAGAACTAAGCGATGTTAGATAGTAGATATTAGTATTAGAACTAGGATATATTATAATAGTGGATATTTATATTAGAACTAGGATATATTATAATAGTGGATATTTATATTAGAACTAGGATATATTACGTAGGGGATATTAGTACTAGAATTAGAACATATTAGATAGTAGATATTACATAGAATTAGAACTAAGCAATATTAGGTATTAGATATTAATGTTAGAATTAGAATATTTTATTAATATAATAGATTAGAATAGAATTAGAATATTTTATTAATATAATAGATATTAGATAATATGAAAACTAGGAGATATTAGAGGTTTCTGCAGTTACTGTTGTAATAAGCATCACAAAAAAACTGTATTTTGTGAACTTTTTGCACATTTTTTATAAAATATATATTAAAGGAATTTTGAAAAAGATGTTTTATGACTTATGCTCATCAGTTTGTGTTATGTCCTGAGCCTGTGCAAGCAGGCTCGGGGCATTGCAAACGGTTCCGGCAGGTGCAGGCTACCCGGGACCAGACAGGCTGTCGCCAGTACTTGTGAGCATGCGCAAGTGCTGGCGCGCCAAAAGTTGCAGATTTACCCGGGGATGGCCTATATAAGAGGCCAGGAGTTTTGGGCGTTGTTGGCGTCTTATAACTGTAAGCTGAACACATGAATAAAGAAGTTTCCTGAGAACTACAACTGCTTCTCGTGTCTTGCCATTTCGCGAAGGACTCAACACTGGCGACGAAGGTGGGATTGCCTTACATCAACAAAAAGGTGTAAGCTTACCCGAGTGAGTCCTGAGCGGCAGGAACGGCGTTGACTCGGCAGCTACCCGCCAATCCAGCGTGCATTCGGGGGTAGGCTGGCTGATAGACCCTTCCTGATACAAAAATGGCAAAGATTGGAAGGCTTTCGGAATTCGACGTCTCACATCCAGAGAGGTGGGAGTCCTACGCAGCCAGGGTGGAAAACTACCTCAAAGTGAACCAAGTGAGGGAAGAAAGCTTGAAGGCTGCCACCCTGCTGTGCGTTTTCGGTCAAGACGCATTCGAAATCGCTGAGAACCTTGCAGCACCTGTTCCTTTAGACTCTGTCAGCTACGCAGATCTAAAAAAGCTACTGAAGGAGCACTTCCAGCCTAAGATGTCCGTCATCACGTGGCGCCACACCTTCGAGCAGAGGGATCAACAACCCGGAGAATCGGCCAAGGAGTACATCGCCGCACTGAGGAAAGCCGCCAAACATTGCGAGTTCAAGGACCTCGAAGAACGACTGAGGGACCGGTTTGTATGCGGGCTAAGGCATCGAGAGTTGCAACAGAGACTTTTCGCCAAGGAGGACTTGTCTTTCCAAGATACCTTGAGAGTGGTCACTGCAGAAGAAGCAGCGGGTGGTGCCATCAAGAACATGCGGCCGATCAGAAACAGTCCAGATGCTGCATCCGTGCACCAGGAAGAAGTCCAAAGAAACTCCGAGGAGGATCCGGACGAGGAAGTGGACCGTCTCCACCCCACAAAGGAAGGAAAACCAAGAGGAAGCTCTTCAGCTCTCCCCAAGTGCATCGGTTGTGGAGGTCGCCACAAGAGACCGACTGCAAGTTCCGCTCCGCTATCTGCCGGGCGTGCGGAAAACAAGGACACATTGCAGCTGTGTGCCTGGGCCGTCAGAAGGTACAACCTCAGGAAGAATTGCGCCTGAAAGGTACCAGGGTCCCCAGCCAAAACCGGGGGGGGGGGGTTGCGCTTCGCGAAGAAGCATCTATAGGACAGGCACACATAAGCCAATTAAGAAAAAGCTGTCACTTAAGGTGAAGCTACAAGGGGTTCCATTAGCTATGGAACTGGATACGGGGTCTGCCCTTTCAATCATTTCCATGCAAATGTTTAGGAAGATTTGTTCCAGTAGTGGAACTCAGGCCAAGCTGAGGCCTTCTGATATTGTGTTAACAGACTTTCAAAACTCCAGAGTGTGTGTTAAGGGGGAGGCCACCCTTAACGTACATTATAAGGATTTTGAAGGTCCACTAGACATATTAGTAGTAGGGGGTGAACGAACGAGTCTCATAGGACTCGATTGGTTTGAGGCCTTGGGAATACACATCACAGGGCTCAACAGCCTACAAACACTCGACCTACAGGAAGTCTGCAAAGAATTTGCAGATGTTTTCAGCCCCCAGCTGGGCACATTCAAAGGACCTCCTGTGTCCTTAAAGCTAGACCCCACTGTCACTCCCATTAGAATTAAAGCAAGAAGGGTCCCTTTTGCTTTAAAGAGTAAAATTGACACTGAGTTGGATAAACTGATCCAACAAGGAATTCTAGAACCAGTTGACTCCAGTCCATGGGAGACCCCCATTGTCACGCCTCTTAAGGCAAATGGGGACATTCGCATCTGTGCTCATTACAAATGCACTCTAAATAAGGCATTGCAGCAACATGCTTATCCTGTTCCTGTGGTCAGTCATATCCTGGCCTCCCTCAAGGGGGGGCGCGTTTTTGCAAAGCTTGACCTAGCTCAAGCATATCAACAGCTGCCTGTTGATGACGACGCTGCTATAGCTCAGACTATTGTGACCCACAGAGGGGCTTTCAAGGTAAAGAGACTTCAATTTGGAGTAAATGTCGCTCCTGGGATTTTCCAAAGCGTAATGGAAAACACACTACGGGGTATACCAGGGGTTTGCCCCTATTTTGATGATGTCTTAATTGCAGGAGACTCCACACACATTCTAGCTGAAAGGCTAAGGGCTGTCCTGTTAAGGTTCAGGAAAACGGGACTCAAACTCAAGAAGGACAAATGTAAAATTGGGGTGCCTTCTACTGAGTTTCTGGGGTTCAAAATTGATGCTGCTGGGATTCATCCTGCTGAATCCAAACTAAAAGCCATTATGCAAGCCCCTAGGCCAAAGTCTAAGGCCGAACTACAGGCTTTTCTAGGCCTTCTGAATTTCTACAATTCCTTTCTTCCACACAAGGCTAGTGTAGCTGAACCTCTTCACAGGCTATTAGATAAACAGGCAGTGTGGCAGTGGTCACAAACACATGAGGCCAGTTTCAATGAGGTCAAGGCCTTGCTCACTTCTAACAGTGTACTTGCTCACTTCAATGAGTCCCTTCCTGTGTGCATTGCTTGTGATGCTTCCCCTTGTGGGGTGGGTGTTGTACTGAGCCACCTCAGGTCTGATGGAACTCAGGTTCCTGTTGCATATTACTCCAGAACATTGTCTTCAGCTGAGCACAACTATGCTCAAATAGACAGGGAGGCCTTAGCTGTTGTTGCTGGAATTAAAAAATTCCATGATTTTTTATATGGTAGGCATTTCACGGTCTTCACTGACCATAAGCCTTTGCTGGGACTGTTTATCACACGTAAACAAACCCCCCAAATCATCTCCCCCAGGATGCTCAGGTGGTCTATCTTCTTGTCTGCATATGATTTTTCCCTACTTCACAAGCCTGGGAAGGAAATGGGCCATGCTAATGGCCTCAGTAGATTACCCCTGCCGGTAATAGAAGCTGACCCTGCGCCAGCTATCAATATTCTCTCTATCCAAGCCTTGCCCGAGTCTCCCCTGAATGCCAGGGATGTAGCCGCTGAATCGGGCACAGATCACACACTTTCACATGTCCTTTCTTGGGTTTTGTCTGGATGGCCTGAGCACTGTCCTAGTCCTGAGTTTCAGAGTTTCTGGTCTAAAAGGAACGAGTTGTCCACCTCTCAGGGCTGTCTGCTTTGGAGAACCAGAGTTGTCATTCCCTCCTCAATGAGGACTAGGGTCTTAGGTTCCCTCCACGAGGGTCATCCTGGCATTGTACGAATGAAGGCTCTTTCGCGCAGCCACTTGTGGTGGCCTGGTGCATGCATGCCACCTTTGTCAACGCTCGCGCCCTGAAATGCCCCAAGCTCCTGTGCATAGATGGGAGGAAACCCAATCTCCATGGTCTAGGGTGCACATTGATTACGCTGGGCCCTTTCAGGGCCAATTCTTCTTGGTCCTCGTTGACAGCCATTCAAAATGGCTTGAGGTTGTACCTGTCTCATCCACCACCGCTGCAAAGACTATTCAGGTACTGAGGGGGATTTTTGCTGCACACGGGCTCCCAGACGTCATTGTGTCTGACAACGGCCCTCAATTCACTTCCTCCGAATTCCAAGCTTTCTTGCAGGCTAACATGATTCGTCATGCCACCTCTGCACCCTTCCACCCGTCCACCAACGGTATGGCTGAACGCATGGTGCGCATCACCAAGGACGCCTTGAAGAAACTCACCTACGGAGACTGGCATCACAGGTTGGCTGACTTCCTCCTTTCTTATCGCACCACACCGTCCACTTCTACAGGGAGAAGCCCAACTGAACTTCGTTGGGGGCAAAATCTGACTACCAAGCTTGACTGGTTGCATCCGGACAGACTGCCTCCTTCTGTCTCACACCCCAGGGCACCTAGGCAACTTCTTGTGGGTACCCCGGTTTGGACTCGTAATTATGGGCCTGGTCATACATGGGTCCCCGCATCCATATCCAGGGTCACAGGTCCTCTATCCTACGAGGTGTCCCTGGACAACGGTCGTGTCCTGCGTCGGCACATTGACCAACTTCGCCCTAGACGGGACCTTCCCGCTGAGACTCCTGGGTCTTTTCCAGGGGGGGAGGGGGAGCCCTTTGGGCAAAGGGAGGGGCATGGAATGATGCCCATTATCAATGGGGAAGCCACAATCAGCCCATCCCGAGATTCCGCAATTGCTCCCAACAGGAAGTCATGGAGCCCAACTAGAACCCAGGCATCAATGCCTACTCCAGCCAGGGAGTCACCCCGGGGGCATGATCACTTCTCACCCGTATCACTCAGTACTCCAGTCAGAGAGAATACCCGGGAGCATCCCAACAATCCATTCCCTGCAAGAGAGCTGGCACACACTCCTCCTAGTTGGCCTGACTTCAACCCTGTCTCTAGAAGGGGGCAAACACACAGGGAGGTGGTCGAGGAACCAAATCCCGACTACAACACCTCTGACTGCACTCAGGGGACAACCGAGTTTTGGGACAGTACTGAAACCCACACAAGCCCGGACACAGAACGGGATTCAAGGGATAGACAGCCTCCTGACAGGTCTTGGATAGACCTAGGAGGTTCTACAGAAACGCCCAACAGTGACAGTCACTTAGAAGTGCCAGAGAGCCTACAGCTAGGCGGGACAACCAGGTCACACACTGGAAGAAGCCCTGGCCTGACGAGCCCGGTGGGCAAGCAAGCAGGCCAGGCAGTGGAGCACAGTCCTTGGGAATCA